GATAATATCAGCAGGTTGCTTTCTCTCCCTTCGTGTTGAAAAAAATCAATCTATGAAGAATTGGAATCTAACCTTCAAAGGGGATCAATAAGAACTATTTTTACATGGCCAAGGGAAAAGAGGCAGATTTCTTGACAGCGGGGTCGGGGGGTGGGGGTCCCACTTTGTACAAAGGAAGGTATTGCTGGGGAGAAGGGAGCGTGTGTGTGCCATGTAGATTTTTCAGGAGTTGCCATGGTCTGAATATTTGTGTCCTGCAACAGTCATAAGTGGAAACCGTTAAAACCAAAAACAAATGAAGACCAGCCTCGAAAATTCCCTAAGCAGAAAAAGAAAAAAAAAAAAACAGTTTAGTCATACAGGCAAAGGTTGATGTAGCTTATTTTGCAAGGCTAACTTGACCGGGGTCATTTCTTGCTTATGCCTCTGGAAATTATCAGCAAAATGTGAACTGTTTCCCCAGGCTGACGTGAGGTAAGCGCTGCCAACTTCCTCATCATTTAAGAAAATTCTATTATAACCAATAAATGTAAAGAATAAACAGTCACTGCCTCCATGCTTTCTAAGCTGTTTTTTTTTTTAAGATTTTATTTATTCATGAGAGACACAGAGTCAGGGAGATAGGCTGAGGGAGAAGCAGGCTCCATGCAGGGAGCCCGATGTGGGACTCGGTCCCAGGACCCCAGGATCACAACCTGAGCCAAAGGCAGATGCTCAACCACTGAGCCACCAGGTGCCCCTCTAAGCTGTTTTATAACCGTATGTCCTGGAGCCTCATGCTCTGCTTTGGTTTGAGTGCTCCCAGTTTGCAAACTGTCTCTTTGGTGTGAGCACAATAAACTTTTACTAATTACCACTGCGGTGATTTGCTAGTTTTATTTCTGTCAAGTCTTTGGTCGATGAGATCAGTGCTCTCATAAAAGAGACCCCAGGGAGCTCCCTTGACCCTTCCCCCATGTGAGGACAGGGCACAAAGTCTACGACAGGGAAGAGGGCTCTTACCATACCCGACCATGCTGGCACCCGGATCTCAGACTTCCAGCCTCCAGAACTTCGAGAAATACATTTATATTGTTTATAAGCTACCCAGGCTGTGGTATTTTGTTCCAGCGGCCTGAACATTCTAAGACAAAAGTCTTCCCACTAGGGCACAGAATAATTTTCCTCTGACCTTTTCCAATGTAAATTCATTTAAGTGGTTCCCTAAAAGAGAATTATAATGAATCTCACATGCAGAACATATGCCTGACTCCTAAAGTCTCAGAGAGGTGATCTTGGCCATCTCCTTGTCTTTTTTTTTTTTTTTCCATCTCCTTGTCTTAAATGAGCACTGCCCACCAACAAGAGAAAAGTCCATCTCGATTTTCAAGCTCTCCTCCAGAAAGGGTGTTGCTGGGGCATTTCTCTGGGCTCCCCTCAACATGGTGTTCTGTGTGCATCCCTCCTGAGGTATCTTCTCTTATTAGACACAGTGAAGACCACCCCCCGGCCCTTCCCCACACTATTACCCCCATCATAAACACACACAAACAAACACACACACACACTCACACACAGCATTGTCCAGACCACAGCTTCCTGGCTTTCTAGAATCCTGACTTCTCCACAACTAATTCCTGAGGCCGCAAACAAATGCTGCAAGAAAGAGGTCATCCTTAGCCTATCTGACCCCACAACCAGCCTAGCATTTCTTTTCAGATTCCAGCTGACTGAGGTATGACATCAAGCATTTCAAAGAATCCAGACCATCACTACAAGCATTTCAAAAGCAATAGCATCAATATCCTGTCCACCCACACTCATGGTTTCTCCTCATATTAAGTGGCTGTCACTCTCTATAAGACGTCAAGGAGCAGAGTGTTCCCATAAACCAGAGAGGGCTTCCTGGAGACCATACTAATCATGGCCTTTGTTGTGCAAAGATGTAATAGGATCCCAAACCACTGCACTCCCTTCCCCACGAGGGACTCATATCCTAACTCCACTGCTGCCAGACACAGTCTAAATGCCCAAGTCCCATAAGCCTGGCTATCTGTGTCCAGCCTCAAAAAGTCCTCATTTTTGTTATATCCTCACTAACCACTGAGAACCTTTCTCAAGTATTCAAGAACCTCCCTCTAGAAACAGAACCGCCTGTTGGCCATCACCATCCGACTCAACAACTGACACAAGAGATCCACAGCTAAGTGTATGTCCTCCTGCTCCTGTGTCCCGCCCTCCTCCGACACCGTGTCTGCCTCCAGAACACCCTTGCATTCTTCAAGACCCAGCTAAACCATCACAGAATCTTCCAGAATCCTTTCATGATATTCCACCCAGAATAAAGTGAACGATCACATTTAGGCACCTCCTCTATCCTCCAGGTGTCTGTCATGTGATGAGCGGTGATGAGCCACTGGACTGGCGTATGTGGCTGTCTCCCACTACTAGACTAGAAGCCACTCGCAGACAGGACTCCCAGACAAGACCGTGTCTTGAATGTCTTTGCTATCCCAGCACCTAACAATGTCCAAAACACTGAAGATGCCCCATAAGTGTTTAATGCATGGAGGAATGTATAGATGACACAAGCAATTCTATATCCATCCAAGCCTCCTTATGATCGCTACTCCTGGGCACCTGGGTGTCTGCCTTTGGCTCAGGGCATGATCCTGGGGTCCTGGAATTGAGTCCCACATCGGGCTCCCTGCTTCTCCCTCTGCCTGTGTCTCTGCCTCTCTCTGTGTCTCCCAGGAATAAATAAAATCTTAAAAAAAAAAAAATCCCTGCTTCTTGTAGTCCTCGCCCAAGTGTCTCCCTACGTTGAAGAGAAAAACATTTTAGAGGCCTGGAGGAATGTTTTGTCCAGCTCACCCCTAGCTGGTCAGAGCTGCCGAGACAGGAGATAGGCTGGAACAAGAGCAGAGCCCTGTGGGTGCCGGTGGACAAGGCTGCCTCATCACGCTCCTCTGACTACTGCATGTCATCAGCTCACTCCCTTAGGCAAAGCTCCCGGATTGCAGACTCTCCACCTCTTTCTGCCACTTTTTTTTTTTTTTTTTGAGAGAGAGAGAGAGATGGAGAGGAGCAGAGGGAAAGGAAGAGAATCTTAAGCAGGCTCCACACCCAGCACGGAGCCTGATGTGGGGCTTGATCTCATGACCCTGACATCATGACCTGAACTGAAATCAAGGGTCAGTTGCTTAACCGAGTGAGCCACCCGGACGCCCCTCTTTTCTGTCATATCTTAAGTAAGACCAGGAGCCCTCTCTGGTGGGGTGCCAGAGATCAGAGGCAGCAGCAGGGGGCTGGTGGGCCTGTCTACCCAAGAGTTGCCTTGCGCCTGAGTTGGGGACATGGCAGCCAGAGGAGAAAGAAGCGACCTCCTGACCAGTTACCTTTCTCCCAGTCCTTGACGACCCTGTCACTTCCTAGGCAGCCAGAGTTGCAGTGCACACAGGAGGACTTGAGTGAACTCTCTCAGCTCAGGGAAAAGAAGACAACCCATGCTTGCAACCAAGTGCATGCTTCCTGTGGCTCACATCAGACTGGGCTTTTGCACTTGGTTTTGTTTTGTTTTTAATATTTTATTTATTTATTCATGAGAGACACACACAGAGAGAGAGAGGCAGAGACACAGGCAGAGGGAGAAGCAGGCTCCACGCACGGAGCCCAACGTGGGACTCGATTCCGGGTCTCCAGGATCATGCTCCGGGCTGAAGGCAGCGCTAAACCACTGAGCCACCCGGGCTGCCCTGCACTTGGTTTTGAACTTGAATCTGACCACATCACTCACCTGCTCCACATCCCTCCTTGGCTTCTTCTGGGGCAAATGGGACCACCTTTGGAAGGCGCAGGAGCTGTACGGCCTGGCCTGGCCTGCCTCTCCAGCTTCACACCCACCCCCCTCGCCCCCATAGGCTAAGCTCAGCAATAGCACAACCTGCCAACAGACTCAGACACGCCACCGCCCCACCTGGGTCTTCCCTCCGCCCTCTGTGCCGCAGAGGTCCTCGCCTCGGGGCGCCTTCCCCTACTCCTCACACACAACTGGAAACTCCTACGCGCGCTGCGGGCTGCACACTTTGTGTTTTTACTGTTGTAGCGAGACCAGCTTCACTGTATCGCACCAGGTCTTCCAGTCTTGGTCCTTAACCATGGGGTCAGAACGGGACCTATCTCGCGGTGTGGGGGCGAGGGCCGATCCCGGGGAGCGGCGGTAGGTAGCCGGGGAGCGAGCCAGGGGCAGGGGAGGGCAGCCGGGGCCTTCACGCGCAGGTTACCGCGCGGATCACCGGAGCTGGCGTAGGACCCCCTCCGACAGGCTCTTCGCCCTCCAACATCCCGCCCAAGCACTGCTGGTTCTGGAGGCCCAGGGGGCGGCCTGGAACCCTGGAGAGAGAACGTTGTTATTACAACACACGCGAGGCGCTGAAGCCCCCAGGGTGCCCTCCACTCCCGGCCCGCGCCCCGCGCCTCCCCAGCATCTCCGCGCACACTTCCCGGAGTTGGGGCCGCGCGCACCCCGCACCCCGCGCACCCCGCACCCCGCGCACCCGCACCCCGCGCCCAGGCCCCCCGACCGCGCTCACCTTCTGCAGAAATGCCATCCTCGGCCTGTACTGCTGGCCTTGGTGTCGGATCGTCATCCTGGACCCCGCGCCGAGTCAGAGCCAGGACGCCCGCGGCCGGCAGCAGGGGAAGCCCCCGGCGAAGGCGGCCGCCAGCCCCGCACGCGCCGCGGCGTCCCCGGGGGAGGAGGGCGGCCCCGAGCGCGGGGCGGGGGCGGGCGCGGGGGCGGGCGCGGGGGCGGCGGCGGCGGCGGAGGCGGGAGGCGGGGGGCGGGGGGAGGCGGGGGGCGGGGGGCCGCCCCTCCACCGGGCCTCGGCCCCCGCCCCGCCCCGCACCCGCCCCGGGAAAGCCGCGGGCCCCGCCAGCCAATCAGCGCGCCGCGCCGCGGGCTCATTAGCATGCGCTGCGCTGCGCCGCGCCCACCTGCGGCCAGGGGGCGGGGCCCGACGCCCGGGGGCCCCGCGGAGCCGCAGGTGAGCCCCGCGGTCCCGGGCGCCGCCGGGGGAGGCTGCTGGGTCGCAGACAGCCGGCTTCGGACCGCATCCCTAAACCTGGGGGAAGTGAAGACCGTACACCGTGGGGTCCGGATCCCGGGCTGGCCTGCTGCCCGGTCACTACCGTGTGGCCCCCAGCAGGTTGCTTCAACTTTCTGAGCATCGGTTCCTCATCTAACCGGAGGCGAGCGGCTGAGTGGTGAGAAATGACACCTGTCTGTTCAGGTGCTTTGAGGTCAGAAAGAAGGGCGGAGGTAACCGGCAGTGGAGTATGGTGGCCGGTGAGGTGTGATGCTCACCTGCCAGGTGGGCTGGCTGCGAACCCTGGACTTCCCCTAGCTTTAGCATCTCAAGCAAGTTAGGGAGACTTTTCTGGGCTTCATTTTCTCCATCTGATCGGTGAGGCTAGTGCATCCTCCTTATCTGTTTTTTGGAGGGGTGGGCGGGCAGGGGCGGTTTGGTTTTAAGATTACTGAGCTAATGCACGTAAAAGCGCTCAGCGTAGTGACTGACATGTGGTGAATAGCAGGTAAACCATAGTTTCTCTCATGTCTCTTGGGACACTTTCTTAAAAATCACCATGCCTAGTGGCTCCCTTGTATACATAGTCAGAGAGGTGTCATCTCAGAATAGTATGAGAACTCTAGTAGTAGTAGTAGTAAATGGAGGTAAGGGTGTATATGTATATAGACTCTGGAATCGGGTCATTTGGGGTCAAGTCTCAACTCTGGTACTTACTAACTAGCTGTGTGTCTTTGGGCAAGTTACTTAACCCTTCTGTGCTTCGGTTTCTGTAAAACGAAGATGGTGCAATGACTGCCTGCTTCAGACAGTTGTTAAGGGGACACGAAGGAGCAAACAAATGAATATCAGTTGTTACTATTATTAAAATTTGTATCATTAGAGACGCCTAGGTGGTTCAGTGGTTGAGCCTCGGCCCTCAGCTCAGGGTGTGATAGTGGGGGTCCTGGGATGGAGTCCCGCATCGGGCTCCCCTCAGGGAGCCTGCTTCTTCCTCTGCCTACATCTCTGTGTCATTCATGAATCAATAAATAAAATATTTAAAAAATATATCTGTATCATAAAGAGTGCGTAATAGTAAACACAAAACTTGAAATGAAATTAAGCTCAACTTGACAGTTACTTCCTTCCCCTTGTTCTCAATTTCCTCATCTATAAAGGGAGGGGTAGGACTAACCAATCCCTGGCAGGGTGAGACCTCCCAGGTCAGAGACACAGGATTCTCAGGATCCAGGACGTGCCTGAGTTTCATTTCCAGAGCCGGGCAGCTGGAGCACGACACATGGAAGCCACTGTCAGAAGCGGGCAGGTGGGTAACTGCCATAAGCGGTGCCTTCAAAGATCAACTCTTCAGATAATCTAGTTCCCATTCTGGAGGAAGAACCAAGTTCCTCCCAAGCCACCAAGATATCTTAGCTCTGACTTAAAGTGCTGGAAAATGGTTCCAGAAACCAAATTCCGAAGTCTGGTTGACTCATAGGGAAATGACTTGACAAAAAAAGCCAAGAGCTATGGCTCCCAGTCCTAGCAAGGCCACTGCATTGGTGTATGACAGCAGAGAAAGCGCTCATTTCACCCCGATTTTCAAATTTATTGGAATGGGTTGTGCAAAGTAATCACAGAGTCTGTTTAAATGTGTGGGTACCTGTGGTTATTTCTTCACTATCCTCTTTTGTTGCTTTCGGCTCCCTTTTTTCTTGATTAGATTGGATCATGGATTACCTATTATTGTGAGACTGTGTGTGTGTGTTTACTTGAGAACCAGGTTTTTCTTTTTTTTTAAGATTTTATTTATTTATTCGTGAGAGACACGCAGAGAGAGGCAGAGACACAGGCAGAGGGAGAAGCAGGCTCCATGCAGGGAGTTCGACGTGGGACTCGATCCCAGGTCTCCAAGATCACACCCTGGGCTGAAGACAACGCTAAACTGCTGAGTCCCCCGGACTTCCCGAGAACCAGGTTTTTATGTAAAAGTTAGGACTTTAAGACCATCTAGTTTATGGGTATTTATGTTGTTTAGGCGAGTTAACAGATATGAGAGGGCTCTGTAAACTAGAACAAACTTTAGGTATGTAGAATGACCACCTGCGTCACTTGACACCTCTTCTCCTGACCACTTTGTGGTCCCAAAGTGACCATGTTTGGGTGGTAAATTACACACTCACCCTAATCACATGTTACTTTACACTCTAACAATAGCCTAATTGAGCCACCACCTGATTTCCTCTCTGTGGGGGACATCATGGGGCATCAGAGAGAGAATATGACCAGGACTCGGGACATGGATTCTGATCACAAATCTATTCCTGACCCATTGTGGGACTTCAAGCAAGACACATCAGCTCTCAAAGCCTCAATTCCTGGTCAGAGTCTCCAGTGCTTCCCAAAGCTTGCTCTACCAAGATGCTTCTCAGACATTAATGCACACACTAGTCTTCTGGGGATCTTGTTTAAGCACAGATTCTTATTCAGCAGGTCACTGTGAGGCTGAGATTCTGCATTCCTAACAGGCTGTCCGTTGATGCCCTCCATCCGAGTAGCAGGGATCTAAAAAAGACTTGGTCCACAGACTATAAATCAATATGACATTTAAAAAAATACAAGGAAGGGATTATAGCAAAACACACTCAGAAATTCATATGTCTACTATACTTTAAAGTGATTGGGGTGTCTGGGTGACAGAGTCGGCTGGGCATGGGACTCTTGGTTTCAGCTTGAGTGGTGATCTCAGGGTCTTGAGATCAAGCCCCACGTCAGGCTCCATGCTTGCCGACCCACCCCCAAAATAAATAAATAAATCTTTTTAAAATTTTAGAAAATAAAGGGATTGTTCACTGCAGGGCCTTTAACATACTTCCAAAGAGAATGACTTTAGCAACTTGGAATAAAAGATTTTTCATAAAGACAAAAGTGTCTATTTTATAAACGGATGTAACAGAGCCAAGAGGGTAACCAGTGTTCCCAGGCTCATGCTCAATCCCTCTCCCACATGAATAGATGAAGTCTTTGATTGCTTGCCATATTTAAACCTCATTGCAGGGAGAATGTTTCACCCGCAGCTCCCTCCGCATCCCCACCCCCCTGGCTGGTATTTTGGATTATGTTGCTCCATCCATGGTTAACTGAACAGAGACACTGGAGTAGCTGACCCAGACCATCACCAGTCCATAGACTGGCCAACAGCCTGTAACCTGGCCAGATGTAAAATGATGACCTGGGGAACCAGATTATCACTCTTGGAAATGGCCACTTGGCCCAGTTAGTAGGCATGGCCAAGCCTGAAGAGAAGCCCCAAGCTGGAATCAGGCCCAAGAAGAGGTAAAGCTATAGGTGAGCTGAAGTAATGAAGGAGAAAAACTGGGGAGCCTGGGGTAGATATGAGAACAGAAAAGCAGACCAGAGCAATGTGAGGGAACCCCAAGAGCTCTTAGAACCGGAAGTGTAGGCCACAGGTGGCTATTATTGGGTCACGAAGAGAAAATCACATCATCCTTAGTTTTTGGTGGAGGTGGTGGCTCCACCTTAGGAGAATGATGGAAACCTGGTATGGTTGTGCTTCAGCCAGATGTTTGTGGACCAGAGGGGAAAAACATGAACTTTGCTTCCTCTCCTCCAGGAAGCCCTCAGCAAGTTCGCATCCAATTTGTAGCAATAGAAAGACTTTATTGCAATCATATCTTCTCTCTGGCCAACCTCACCCTGTACCTACCCTGGTCTTGACTCCATATTTCATTTGTTTTCCTTGCCTTAATTTATAATTTATAATTTACCATTGTGTATTATGCATCTTCTGTATGCTGCACTGACTTAATTGTGAAAGGAGATGTGGTAAAAATAAATAAATAGATCAAATGAGAGCTAACTTAAGTGGATTCATGTCTGAATGATTGTGTCCCTGATTCCCCCTTAAATGTTGGTGTAGGCATAGATTGCATCCTACTAAAAATCAGAATGATTGGATGATAACATTGAGGACACGGTTTTCTAAGATGCAAAAGAATGGCTAATACATTAGAAAATCCCATTTGCATCCCAAAGTTCTCACCAGTCTGAGCTTAATCCTGGGCGCCTTTGAGAGTCGATCAAATGCCCACACTGAATCAGCATCTCTGGGCAAAACTCCAGTGTCAGGATTTCTAACTCCTTACAAAAGACCTCATAGGGACTAGCCACGTGAACATCTTTTTGAAAAAAAATCATTAGTTGATCCAAAAACTGTTGCCAAGGTATTGTCCATGCTGTTCCCCTGCTATGTATCATAGGAGAAATTTCTTTCAAAGTGTAGTACCAACAAAAATTTAGTCTTCCCCGCTACCCTGCAAAACAAAAACAAAAACAAAACAAAAAAAAACCCCAAAAAACAAAAAATCCCACAATGTTTCCTTTTCCCTGATCAAGAGATATGTGTATCATGTTTCTTTTTACATCCTGATCAGCAGAACACTCCCAATCAGGCATTACCCTACTCGGAGCAACAGGAATTGACATTTTATTTTTTATTTTTTATTTTTTCTCCACTCTGTTTTCCTATTTGAGTTCATATACTATTGGTTTTATTGGCTGGGTTTTTTTTTCTTTTGGTAAGCCACAACAACGTTTCTGAAGTGACTTAGGATATAAATAAATTATATATGAAATGATGAGTGGGAGGTGGCTTGATGAACTGCACAAGATGGGGGAGAAAGGAAAAAATGAGCAATCTGAACCCTCTTCAAGATTCATAACTTTATCGAAATTGAACCCACATTGTTTTATTTTGGTCCATGATACCTGCTAAAGGGAGAACAGTGTATTGAAAGGTATTTGACTTTGATAAACATCTTGCTCTCCCTACAAAACGATTGATCAGAGTACATCTGTCCATCTGAATTGATTGGCTTAGCTTGAAATAGAAGGATCTCTCATTCTGCAAGCCTGGATCTCCTCTCTCCTCCCTGCTCCTCCATCATTTCCAGGTGAGATGGGTGAGGAAGGGAGGCAGGAAGGGGGGAAGGGAGGCAGGGAGCGATGGACGTGGATGGGTGCCAGGACTTCAGGGATTTCAGAATAACCTGACCTAAGTAAGACCTCCTAGTCATCCCCAGTATGCCATCCTATAATTAGGAAAGTTTTGCTCCATCCTTTCCATCTTAAGGAGTAGAGTTCCTGCGATGGGTCCACAGGGGAAATTTCCCAGAA